GCCTTGTCGACGGTTTTTCTCAGTTTTTTCTCCACTGTCGTTCCACTTCGCATCTCTATACTCAGTTTCAATCGCCATAATACCCCCTTATTGAGCCCGACTTTTGCCTTTATGAAAGACTGGATCGTGTTCTTTCCAGAACTTAGCCTAGGTGCCATAAAATCTTCAAACAAAGTAAGCCTTATGGACAGTATTCTATAGAGTCTTTGCAAAGTTTGAGATAACTGACCTGCTGTGATTGCAAACAACTCGTCTTTCTCCTTTTGAGAGAACTTCATGATATCGAATGCTTCCTAAAATAGCAATAATTAGTAGTAAGGCCAGATTTCTGAGCTTGGTGGTCTCTTTCAATTTCAGTGATGGCACTACTAATTGGTCGTCGTAGGAAATACGAATTGAGCTGGGAAGCGATGATGTGTTGTAAGCAGAAACCAAGAAAAATAGATCGAAACCCGCAAGACGAGATCCTCTTTGCCCTTTGACTCCCACATTGGATAACATCCTATGATGGCATGTTAACGCCGTGCTCAGCCTGTTCACCCTCCCGCTTTGCCACCGACAGGACCCATATCATCATCACTCTGTGGGCTAACTCCGCCGCCTCAAAGCGACACGAGTAAACTTCTTCTGAATCGCTGCAGGAGCGCTCTTCGCCTCAGCAGCGCCATTCTCGTTCGTTAGGTACCTAGCCGTCTTCATAGTGAAATACAGTAGCGGTCAAAAGTGTTCGCCGAAACGGTTTTTCGTGCTTCTCTTTTTTTGCCAGAAAAAATCAATGGTGACCTCGAAAATTTTTTCTTTTGAATATCCTGATTCTTTAAGACTTGAGGATATAAAAACACTAGAAAACATAGTATATCAATCTTTGGAGGCGTTGCTTCGAGAAAAATAATGCACTGAAAATCGTTTCGGCGAACACTTTTGACCGCTACTGTAGTTTCCCTTTCCATTTTTCATTTCTTGCATCGCCTAACTTTGACATTGGCTTACTCCATTGCGAACATCTACACGCAAAACATGGAGAGGTGCAGAAGACTGCCTCGAACTATCTCAGTGCATCAAATCTATGAATAGCGCAGAGGGATACGATCAAACCTTTTGCTATCCTTTTGCGAGTTAACCAGCCCTTTCTAGAGTGCAAAAGCGAGGCTGTCTCATACATAGTTCTTATAGGTCGGTGGAATAAAGTTACAGCGGTTTTATTCGACTGCTGATCCTTCAAACTTGATTTTTGGGCGCGCTCAATAAACCTGTCTATCTACCTGTTGACTCTTACTTATGGTCGTCATCGTTAGCCACTTGAGATGTACAGTTTACACTACTTCTTGAATACAGGGAGCCGCTACTGGTTACAGCCGCGGCTCCGAGAATCTGGGATTAACTAGCCGCTGCGTACATCAGTAATAAGCATTTCTTCTTTGTGTGGTTCTCCACTCATCATAGAATGGTTGGTTTTTATTTTGTCGGCTGGTAGCAACGAAGTGGTATCCAGTTTATAGGGACGCAGTTAGCATCAGTCTCTCTAGAAACATATGTATTGATTGATTCGGGGTGTGAAGAACTATTCTGATAAGGTATCGAATGGTCTACATGAATTACATCAGTGGCTGGGGAGAAGCAAAATACCTTTGAGTCCTTTGACCGCACCGGAATAAATCTGATAGAAAATGTGATAACATCGCTCTCCGGGTGCCTGCTTGATCACTCTGGATTTCTCGAGAAGGTCTTAAAAGGATAGATCATTTGGGAAAAAAGCAAAGTCGGATGAAATACGTTACAGTGCTCGATAGTCGCATCTCCGGACAACCTAGTCACGGCTCTGTTTGAATGGATGGATGAACTTCCGATGAGAGAGTTATGTTACGAACTGTTTTCGCGTTACCTGAATTGCAATCGATGAAACTGGTGATCATTTATTACTGGTTAATTGCCCGATGGGCATGGAACACCTATTAGCAACTTTTTTGGAATGCCGCGATGATCGACTTACCGAACGCCTCGAGTACCGGATTGGTCTGTACAATCTGATCCTCTAACGATACATTCGACTTGTCCTTCTTCTTCTTTCTGGAATACATAGGTAATAGCTCTTCATTTGTGAGACGAAAGGTTCATTAGCACAGGTATATATAGCGGCGCGTTGATGCAGACCCACCAGGCTTGGATAACTCAGTTCAAGTAAGTGTGGCAGTGTTGTTTGAGCCAGACTAGTTCTCTCACATGCTACTTCTTTTTGCTCTTACCTCATTTCCACCTACTCAGTTTGCTGGGACGGTAGTGGACTTCCCTCAATTCCCAATCAGAGGTGGTGACTGAGGGCCCTTATCATGATATAAGGAGTTAAGGGGCCTCATGGGTCGCTCATAAGGAGTCAGACACAAACTGCGAAGGGTGATATGACTCATATCAAAGTGAGGTTTTTTGCATATTAAGGCAAAAAGTCGGCGCTCAGTAAGGGGCTTTCTTTCGGCTATAATATTATTGGCGATTGAAACTGAGTATAGAGATGCGAAGTAGAACGACAGTGGAGAAAAAACTGAGAAAAACCGTCGACAAGGCCGTTAACAAAACCCTCTTTCCCACTAGCAGTGAAGGAGGCTGGCTTGGGAAAGAGGCACGTACAAACAAGTTTTCTGGAGATATCAGTCGTTCTATCGGTTGATACGGCAATCAACCTAGCTGATTTCACACGTTATGCCAGCCACGCACCACATCCCGGAGGTGGGCGGTCGTGGGTGCGGGCCAGGCGGCGATAGCGCATAGTAACATGCCCTGCGGCTTTACCAGACTTTGTTCGAGGATTTTGTAGCGTGGGAAATCTGTACGGGGTGGCAAGTAACAAGTGAGGGACATGACGAAAAGGTTGGTTAAGGTGCAAACTAAGCCGAACTTATGTTTTCTTGATATTAATGCTGCTATGGAGTCAACGTGAGTTGATGTGTTTGGCAGCGCTTAGACCTGTTGGCAAACCATGACTTTTACCTTGGGCTAATCGACACGTTATCCCGGAGTTGAGGGAGGTTTACTACCGTCCCTGCTGGTCATTTCATTAAGTTTTTGTCGATTTCGGGTCAGAACTTCTGTGATACTTTGCTACTTGGAAGAATATTTTTACTATGTTGGCTAGGAAAAATTAGAGCTTTCTGAATTAACGGGCCGCTTCCAAAATATTATACATTTTCCACGAGCAGCAAATAGGAACTGGAGCAAATAGCTTCTACGGCCTCGCTCGTGAGTAAACCACCGCGTTCGCATCTTTCCAAAATTTTGCAACCCCACCCCTTCATGGGGTCACGATGAGACTCTCCACCACAGCCACCCAATCAGCTTTAGGTCGGTGTCAGGTTCGCAAATCAAGAGATTCTCTAGCAATGGTGATTCGCAAAATCTGACACTCGCCTTATTGTGAGAAGGCTCCCTCACCACGAAATTAACCCACTCACCCACTACCGCAACCACCGCCCTCACCATGATGTTTCTATCTTTTGACTCTAAGACCATTGGAAACGCTCCAACATCGCGGATCCGCTAGTCTTTTCAAAATGGCCATCGAGCGAGGAGAGAAGGGATTTGGACAATTAGGCAGCAAATCTACAACAATCCACCAATTGTGTATGATCCGCTAGTTTCGTGAAACATGCTCCAATGTCGACAAAAACTCCAACTGAAACAACCCTCAACCACAACCCATTCAACTCCGAAAGTACGACCCCCGTTGCACTCCCACACTTTGCTTTCCACTTTGCAGGTAGTTAACTTTGCTCAAACCCAAAAGGGACCCCTCCCTTCTTCAAAATCACAAATGCGTCCTCCTCGTTCAAGTGATGTGAACGGACCGTTGACCCTGCCTCGAGTTTTAGCGTTCTTTGACCGCGTATTGTACAATTACCTGCGTTGATACCTACCTGGTGACCCAGTCAGACTAGATAAACTAGTAGCAACAAGGTGGTAGCAAGCAACTGCTGTATTGCCCACTTTGCTCCTCATTAATTTAACGTCATTTGCGTCATACTCTCGTGACCTTGCATGACAGCGCGCTATAGTTGAGAAACAATAGGCAGT